AAGTTTTATTTCGCGAGAACAGGATGGCTAGCAATAGCATTAGTTCCAACACCAATAGCATTTTTCATAGTAGCAGCGAGTGGAAATGAAGCAGCACTTCAAGCAGGAACGGCTCTAATTGGGTTGAGTTCAGGATTCATATTCGCTGCAGCAGTGTCAATAACATCAGAACTATTTGGACCAAATAGTGTTGGAGTAAACCACAACATTCTCATCACAAATATCCCAATTGGATCACTTGTCTATGGTTTCCTTGCTGCTCTTATTTATGACAATAATGCTGCTGCTTTTTCAATACAGATGGTTAATGATTCAGTAGTTTGTATGGGGAGAAAATGCTATTTTACAACTTTTATTTGGTGGGGTTGTCTTGCCATAGTAGGACTTGTTTCAAGTGTCTTGTTGTTCTTAAGAACTCGACCTGCTTATGAGCGATTCGAGCAAAATCGTAGGATAAGTTTGTTGGAATGATTGTTAGTAGCTGCTAAATTTTGTATGAAATGAGAAGTGTTCATGATAAAACGATTTCCTTCAGCAGAATACTGAGGTACCTCAAATTTCGTATACGAAAATTCCTTTATTTCTAGCTAACTAAATATAATATAAAAAAATATTTAATATGCCTTATTAGAAAAATCACAACATTCATCGAAAAAGTCATAACTCATTAAAATTGAATAGGTGTCCTTAGAGCACTAGCTCCTAAGTTGGTCATCGTCCTAAATTGGATTGTGACAAAAAAAACTTCATTGAATAGCCGCCCATCAAAATGATAGCAGATAATTTGTGTACATATATATATATATTTTTTATTGTATAATATACATACAATATACATTTGTAATTCAAAATAGTGTATATCTTTTGTATATTTGACTTGCTAGTGCAATAATTTTGACCTACCAACCAACTATTATTTTACTATACTAATAATAAAAAAATTACCAATATTAACCTCACAAGTATCATGATTGTGTAGATTTCAATAACAGTACATACAACTTGAACACTTCTCATATATATATATATATATATATATAATATACCTATCAAGAATCTAATCTCCCCAAAGTAGTACCAAATAACATCAAATGTTTCCACAAAAAATACTACTAATATATTAATCGTAGGTGCAAAATGTTTCATTCTTTACGCAAAGGAACAATCTTTCATAAGCCAAAGCCATTTTCTTTGCCGTGAACATAGAAGATGCATACTCCCTACAAGCCTTACCTCTTCTTGCTAATTTCCCTCTTCCTTCTTCAACTACTCTTTCAAGTGCTTCAACCAATGACTCCACATTTGGTGTAAACATAAATCCATATTCATCATTCACAACAAGTGTTCCTTTTATACTGGGAAACCGTGAAGCCAGAATTGGTTTCCCACTCATCATTGCTTCCATTAATGTAAGATCAAGTCCTTGAGGTCTAAGTGTTGGATTCACAAATATGTCTATTGAGTTATAAAATGCTTTTAATTCAGATGGACTCATTGAACCTAAAACTATAACTTGAGGTCCTAAATCTTTGTATCTTTGTAACCAAGGTCCAGAGCCAGCTACTATTAAATAAACATTAGGGTATTTTCCTTTGAGTTGTGAAAATGCTTCATGAAGTAAAGGGTGTCCTTTATCTTTTACTAATCTTCCAGCTACACCAAGTACTATGCTTGCATTTTGTGGTAAACCTATTTTGGACCCAAAATCATGACCTAATCTTGAATCTTCACAAAAATCTTTTTCATCTACACCATTGACAATTACATGGACTCTTCTTCTTGGGATTTGGTACACATCTCTAAGCATTTCTCCACAACTATCACTTATAGCTACATGATGTGCATAGTTATGAAAAAATCTAATTTCATCTAGCACCTTTGGTATCACGCCTTGTAGACTTTGGTTGAAAGTCGAGAGCATAGGCTCGTTAGGGTTTCTAGCTAAATCTTGGAATATGCTTGATTGTACACCCTCTAGAGCTATTCCATGCCATGATACCACGAGATTTGGAAGGCTAAGAGCTAGATGATGAGGCAATGCCACACTTTCTGAGTGAATTACATCGAAAGGCTCTCTCTCATTTTCCTCTTGATAGTTTTCCCATGCCTTTTTGTAACCCCATCTCCCTGTCACGCCTTCATTCCAATGAATAATTGGTGAACTTTGTGAAGAATCATCAATCATATGTGATGTAGTTGGAGTAACATGCTCCATAGGAGGTGAGGTAAAGACATGTACTTGATGACCACGACTTGCCATAGCCATATGCAACGTATAGGCATGACGTTCCATGCCTCCGGGGGTAGCACTCATAGGCCATTTCCTTGAAAAGACCGCGATTTTTAGAGTTTTCAATGGAGGATTCTTATCATTGAACTTCAAACGGTTCCATGAAAACTCAGCATCGCGTAGATCACCGGACCATGACTTGATTTTGGAAGAAGTGGTGGTGCAAATGGAGTTAGTAGGGGTATGGAGGAGTAGAAGAATTGGAATGGTAAAAAGCACAATGAAAAAGAAGGCGGTAGGAGAAAAAAGAGTTTTTTTTGACTTGTTGAATGCCATTATGTTTGAGGTTTGAAAAAAAAACAAAAGGGGGTGTATAGAAATATATAGATATGACTTTAATTTAATTTTGTATAATAAAAGGGACTTTTTCAAAGTTGATATGCTAAGGAAAGTGGGAAAGTTTGGCACATATGCACGCACTTAAGCAAGTGCACATTGGATTGTTGAGTTGGCCTTTTGCTTGCTTTTTAGTGCGTTCCTCACGCATAATGCAAGAAAATCAAAAAGTTGGACATAATATATAGTTAGTGAATAAGTTTCATGTGAAAGGGCCTAAAATTATTCTTAAACTTATGAATGAATTTTAGGTGGACGTCACCCTAATAATAAAAAAAGACTTTTCATGTGCTGCCCCATGAGAAAAAAAAATTAGAATCGCATGTTAGGGGCGTGATGAGATTAAATAAACAAAAATATTTTTATATAAAATAGTTATATATTTTTACGTTATCATGAAAAAATATCAAAAGGTAAGCAATTGAACTTGGATTTTACCATCCTAAGACTCAAGACTCTCTACTTGCTTGGATATCATGTTAATTTGTCTGATCGTCTTATTTAAAAGTTAAGTTAGTAAAGAGAACAAACTTTTTCTATTTTATCTTAATGGTTAAATAAATGTTTGTTTATGCAATTAAACATTCGTGAAATGACCATTAGTAACGATGTTGTTGCTTTCTTGGCACATGTGAGCTGCGAGATTCTTTTTAGTAAACATTCTGTACTTGAGTTAATTACTCTACACTTAACTTGCATATCGTACTAATTTATATTTCTATTATTTTTATTATATTTATAGAAAGGGATTATAAGTTTGTTTAAAAGTAGGCATACTTTCGATAAAACAATTTGTTTTGTTTTTTTATAATGATAAGAAAAATATGTAGCATGATTCATGAATAATTTTGTAAAAAACTAAATAATAATCATTTTTGGCATTACTAATAGTGGGAAATCATTCCACAAATGTAATTCATATATATAGCTCCTATAATTAACTAATTTGACTAACTAATTACTAAAGGCACAAATGCATTAACATTTAATAAAAGGATATTGCTTTATAAAATGCTTTACTTTGTGGAAATATCTAACATAAAGAGGGAGTGATGTATAAGTTTTTTTTAATTTCTTTTTGTATAAAAGTCAACCATTCAACTTAAGCAAACTTGCAAATTAGACGCATTTGGACATTGAATTTTGACGTTTTTAATTTAGAGTCTATTTTGTAGAAAGTATTTTGTGATGTACTTATTTTATTGAAATATATTTACATGTATATTTTTCAAGTCTTAATTATTATAATTTTTGGTTGACTGTCTTCTTTTAAGTTTAATTGATGGCTTTTATTTCTTGACCTTTAATTAAGCAGTTAGCACTAGAGTGCCTTTGCTACTTCTATAAGCACCATTTTTATGCTTAAATTTTCAGTTTTATATTAATTGCGTGGTCAGAAAAACAGCTTTATCTTTTATTGGACGATATGTGTATCGAGTAGAAGCACAAATAAGAGAGATAATATATTTTAAAAGGGATTAAGGGTGTTATATAGGTGGATGAAATTATATATGAGCAGATTAAAATGAATTAAATTAATAAATTAATTTTGTTATAATTAGCATGATTTTAGCTTGAATTATATGGACAGAATAGCTTGGCCTAATAACGGATCATAATTCTAACTTAAAATTCTTCTTTATTTGTTCTCTTATACTTTATAGTTTACATCAAAATAAATGAATAGAAATTTTTTTATTGAAATCATTATTATGCTAAAATAAACCAAATACATAAACGTTATTTTTATAATGCTTTAAAATGTTTTTGTATTGGTCGATTTAAGCTATAATCAGCCTAAAGTTAGCGCAAGCTTTCAAAAAGTGTAATTTAGACTTGGTCTTAATATTTTTTTGATGATATGAATATATTCGATATAAATTGAAAATTATAACTTTTTAAGCAATGTAAAAAGAGAGAGAAGAGGAAATAGCGGAGTTGACACATGTCTTTGTTGAACCTTTAATCTTGGTTTGGTCCACATGAGCTTTAAAAGCAAAGTGGTCCACGTAGGCATGAAAAACCTTTTTTATTTCGGGATTTTCTATATGGTGGTGGTACTTATATTAGAGTCTAACTATTATGGATTTCCGCTGCATAGGGCTCTATTCGAGAAAAAATGCTCCCTATAAAAGGGTTTTCCATATTAGACGACTCGAAAGACTTATGTTAAAAAAATTTAGATAAAAAATTTTAGTGTATATAACCCAATTAAATAATCTTCGAGGTTACTTTCAAAGTTTCTTTGAAGAAAAATTTATTATTTTAATTTAGTTTTCATGTGTCGATGAATACATAATATGAATTTTTACTACTGAATCAAGATAAATTATTATCCTATGATGTAAACGTCGTAACATAATCTTAATCCATGTAAAAAATAGAAATGAGTGCATCAAAATGCCTCCAAAACTATCACATTGCTAAAAGGAAGTTATAATGTTACATAAAACCTTATGGTGGTAACTTTCATTTATCTACAAACATTTAGATCTCACCTTAACTCCATACTTTAAATACAATATTCATATATATATATATATATATATAATTATAGATATAGATATTATATAATTATTTCAAGCACAATCTTTCATCATACATACATACATTTACTTGCTCTTACTATTGACACCCATCCTTGGATTCTTAATCACCACAATTTTGCTATCCTTGTTTCCTTTTGGTGCATAAACAACATACTTATTGCTTGATTTTGGTGAAGGTGGCCATTGTCCACAAGCCACAGCCATGTCTCTTAATGGTTGAATGGCTTCTAATGTTTCAATAATGGCTGGCATTTTGGGCCTATCTTTTGGGTTCAAACTTGTGCATAGTGAAGCTAAATGGGCCATTTCTTTTGCACCTTTAACTGAATATTGTCCACCAAATCTTGGGTCCATTATACAACGCAATCTTCTACTACTTGACAAGTAAGGCCTGGTCCAATCCACCAAGTTTTGTTCATTTTTGGGCCTTGTTTTGTCCATTGCTCTTCTTCCTGTTAGTAGCTCTAGTAAAACTACTCCAAAGCTATATATGTCACTTCTCGTTGTAAGATGTCCTACATCACAAGTGGAACATGAACAAATTGTTTACACCAAACAAATAAATATAATATATAAACTATTTTAGTTACTTAATTATGGTTGAGAGAAGGACCAATGCAATCTCACTTTAATTTGTTCTAACACTTAGATATGGACAATTTTTTTTTATTTGGTATAAACATCATAGCGATGACTATTATTTTTCTCTAAACAACTTAGGGATATTTTGATACAAAATTTGTGGCACATGCGATTGATTTTTCGTTATGAGGGGTATAAGTTAAAAGAGAACGAAGTGTACCTGTGTTAACATATTCAGGGGCTGCATATCCATAAGTGCCCATTACTCTAGTAGTAACATGAGTGTTTGATCCTTCTGGGCCCATATGTGCAAGCCCAAAATCTGATAATTTTGCAGTAAAGTCCTGAAAATAAAAGTGTATATTGATTATAATACACTAATCATATTGACTAATATTTGAAATACATTTTTTTCTTAAGAATACATACAGAATCAAGCAATATGTTGGAGGTTTTGAAGTCACGATAAATCACTGGTTTTTCAGCTCCATGCAAGAAAGCAAGGCCTTTGGCTGCTCCTATTGCTATCTTCAATCTTGTACCCCATGGCAATGACATCGATAACCCTGAAAGTTTTATGCAAGTTATTATATTTCAAAAAATTTGTAATTTCTTGAAATTTGACCTTTCATTCTTTTGTATTTTTCGAGAAAATTACACGTAATTCAGTTACTTTAGTCTTGATAAGAACGAACTTACTTTTAAAGAGATGATTCTCAAGACTGCCTTTAGGCATGAATTCATAAACAAGAAGGCGCTCTTCATCCTCGCAACAATAACCAATCAATCTTACCAAGTTTTTGTGCCTTAGCTGCCCTAGAAATATTACTTCCGCCTATATATCAACCACAAATAACTGTTAAACAATCGAAAAATATTATATATTACTCAGTCCGTTCATCTTTCACTTAACAAGAGTGATAATTTTATTATATCACTTTTAATTATTTTACTAATCTTGGAATAAATAATACGAGACAAAAAATAAAGGCTAACATAATAAAAAAACATGGAATAAACAAAAGATTTCTATATTGTTATTCAGCCCTATTAAGTTTTGGGACCCAATAATTATGAAGATTTTCATGAAGAAAAAATGTGTAAACACAAAAAAGGAAAAAAAACAAAAAAAACGTCAAAGAATTTAAAAGAACGTGGGGCACAATAGAACTGCCAAGTCCAATTTTTATTATTTTATTTTTTTTCAAGTCCAAGCTTATGCTCTGTAAGTCAAGGATTTAATTAATTTATTTATTTAAAAAGGAGCTCTTGTCTCTTCATATAGCTCATAAAACAATTAATATCCTGTCCCTTCATAGTCCAAAAAAAAAATACAATTGACATCAATAGGACAAACTGTTATTAGAATTAATATTACTAAAGATTTTAAGGACATATATAAAAAATATCATTTATTATTAAAATTATATATTTAATGATAATTGCAAATTAAGTATCGTTAATAATCATTTTTAATGTAGTATAATATGCTTAAATTTTACTACAATTTAGTTTCTCTCTTTGTTCTTTCATAATGTTTTAATTACCTAACAAATTTTTTTTTTTATAATAATATGTAACATATCATTAAAAAACATTTTAAACATAGTTTGATCTCAAGTATCAATATGGATAATATATCAACTCCAATCTTAGAATAATTTGAACTTGGCAAGTCAAAACAGAGGGAGTCAATAACTCACTTAAAATTAAACAAATTATATTTTTATGAACAAATTTTATCACGCTCGGGATAATAATAAAAGTTACTAAAAGAGAAATATAATAGATATTAATAATTACCAGCCATTCCCTATGACCTTGAAGTCCTTCAATATTAAGAAGCTTCACAGCAACAGCTTGAGATTTCAAACTACTCCTCAAATTCTCATCAACATACCCTTTATGTACCGTCCCAAATCCACCTTCTCCGAGCAAATAATTAGTCGAAAAATTCTGCGTTATCGCGCGTAATTCGCTCACCTGGAAATCAAACAAGTCAGGTCCAAATGTTTGAGCAAGATCCTCGTTAATTCGAGTTGACGAGGATCTGCTCAAATCCGAAAATGATAACCTACGAAACGATGGTAATGGACCTATATTATTCTTCGAAAAATTGGATTTCGAGGTTTTGCACCTACTAAAATTACCAAATATTGTTTGATCATCAGCTGAACAACAATTAGCTGTAAAAGGTCTCCAAGATTTTGAGTCTTTAGTCATGATTTGGTTTGATGAAAAAAAAGATGGAGAAGTTGATGGGAAATATAAGAAGGGATATGTGGATTAGATAAAGGTAATTTAATTAATTTATTATGGTTAAATAATTGAGATTTTTTTTCTTAAAAAAAATATTGATTATTATCCACAATGA